AAAAATTTTAAGACTAAGAAAAACAAGTATATTGAATAGATTGCCAATTAAACCACAAATAAGTATAAACATGCCAAAATAAATAGAGATATGTAGTGAAACACTATTAAGAAATGCAATTGACGGCATTAGTATGTACACTTATAGTATGACATTTTACAAATTTATTCTTTTATGCTAGCGAACTAGTTATTTCTCTTCTTATATATTGGCTAACAGTTGATATTACTAAAAATTATGTAATTATCTATCATTAATAAGCTTGAAGGATTAGTTTTTGTAATATCCGGTATTATACGTTTTGTTTTATTTGATGTGACTTTTGAGAAAAAAACTGTCCTAAACCATGTACATCATGTATTTAGAAAGGTGAAAAAAATCATCCGTAACGGCGATGATAAAACTCATTACACTTTTGCATCGTTAAATCGAACTAATACTACGATTGAATTATTATGTCACAAGTCACGATATATTTTAAATTAGTTTTAAATACGAATAAGATGGTTTTTTTTACCTTTAATTGTTTATAATATTGGTTAGAGCCTTCAGTTATATTTTAATAGAAGTCTACAGGCTGTTTCATAAGTCTTAAGGCACCACAATATTAGTTTGTATCCGGTCACGAAACAACCCCTAGCCGTATGTTTTTTATATGCGTTTTGAATACTCGAGTCATACCTTGAAATCAGATATTATAAGTTAATATCCTCTCTTGCAATAATAGAAAGATAAACAGGAACATGTGTGAACAAGTTTTTCTCAATTCATCAACGCAATTTTTTTGAACGTTTTCTTAATGAAGGGTCGAGCAATTCTACATAAAACGTGGTGCAGTAGAAATCAATAATTATTTCTTTTATTCCACACTCATCAAGATCCATTCGTAACATGTTCAGTCAAGCTGCGTATGCAGTAATCCGACAGATGTGGATAAAACATATGAAACGTCGCGTGAGAACGAAATACAAAGAAACACAGGATTGTCTTTTGAATTATTGATCAACTATTTATTAATTCAATTTTATGTCAAGAAGATAACGATAAAATTGTTGAAGGGCATAATCTATTACAAACGTATGACGAATATTAAAGAAAAAAGTACTAGGAGGAATTAATATATGTATTTATAAAATAATGTTTTGCGTTTTTTTTCTCAAATCAAAAATATACTTTTGATCGATTGTGAAAAATTTGTCATTAGATGCATATATTTATATTTTCATTATTACAAGAAAATATATTATCCAATAATATATCGTTTAAGAGAGAGAAATTCAAGTGTTCAAGGCTAATATAAACATATTCGATTAATGGTTATTTTCTATTGGCATGTGAGCTAATTTTGTGACGCCTCATGACTTACGAAACATCTTGTCGAATTGAAAACAATTTAGCCGAAATTTACAATGTCATGCCAAGCTCTATGTTCAAGCTATATCAAATCTATTTATCATATTTTGAAGAAGTAAATTGGTAATTGATCCCTATTAACAGATGATAGCAGTACAATAAAATGCGTATAAATTTTCTTAAAATGTTTTTTAGACGGAAAAATACAAGTATATCGAGAATTTCACCAGATGTATCAATAACAAGGTTTATTATGTTCAAATAAATAGTCTTTTGTTATTTAAAAAAAATATTAATTAATGAAAAACATGTACATTACATTCGGATATTTTAAAGCTGCACATGCCAATGTGATTCAATAAGAAATTTACATTAGATTGAGAAAAATCAGATTCTTTTAGGTTACATATATATTTATCTTAACGAGAGCAAGTTATCTATCTTGTTTTCGAATATTATTCCCGTTAAATTACCTGATGAAGCTCTGAATATTTGTCATCGAATTTTTTTCGTAGAGCGAAATAAAATTTGGTCGTGAAAAGTATTAAATACATTCAACAGTTATGTGAAACAGTACATACAGGGGGCATGTATTTCGAAAGAAGTCGACACTGAATATAGTTGCTTGGTAATTGTTATCTGAGTAAAATTGAACAAAAAATCTGGTTGTTATTAAGTAAATTTTTATTTTAGCAAAGGGAAGAGAAAAAAATCATGCTAGTTTTTCACAAACACGTCGGTGCAACGTAAAACCTTTTGATGACAAAGGCTATAGAATTTTTTGAGTACGTTTCAAGATTTTGATTTCTGCTACTCGTACAAAATCAGTTAAACCTTCATGAGAATACCTTTTTAAAAGTTTTTGAAAATAAATCAGTAATTCTTCTCAAGAGTAAAAAACACTATTGTACTACTTTTTGAAAAAAACTAATTGTGAATTAGAAAATATATTATCATGAAAGGTTAACGTTTTTAAAAATCGACGATTCACGAAAATTAATTGATTGTGATATTACTTTTTCAATTTTGTTTAATACAACGAAATATACACATCAGATTGTAAATCATAGAAAATAAAACACAGCCGATGGACACAAAATCGAAGAAATATCTGAACTAAATAATGTAAACATTGAGAAAGATATAGTTGAATTTTTTCAAATCGAGGAAAATTTCAGCACAAATTTTTAGAAAAGATTGAAAAGAACCTCTCTCAAACAATGTGTTCGTTTACATTGTTGTTAAATAGTTCAAGTCTTTCATCCAGAAATCATTGAACGCATATAAATGTTTTGCTTACTTCTATTTATAATCAAAATGTACACTAAATTACATTGATAATTAGTTGTATGTTTGAGATTCCACTAATTTACAAACATTTTTTAAACATTTGCATAGATCTAACGCTTGGAATCGTCTCATTAGTTAGATTAAGTATTAAAACATGATCAATCATAAGATTAACACAGAATATTAATAAACGAAGAATTAAAGTATTTCTAATAATAAAATCATATCAACTAAGTAATTGTTGTTGAGTTTAGACGTTGTACATCAGGCCAATTTAAGAGAGATATGAAAACACTCAAAAGGTAAGTGCTCGTGCGCCTACCTTCCTCAGTTACAATGATTCTACTGATATCTTAGCTAATGACATGGTGATATATGCCTAGATATCGTATGATGATATTTCAATCAGAAATTCAATTCACAGATAGTTCTATTTCTTTTGGAAAGTCAATATCTTGTAAATGAATTCATCTTTTAAGGTGAAATCATAAATTAGTTCATAGTTGAAATCTAAAACTAGATGTTCTGAAGCTATGCATAAAAGTCTTAAAGACTGACATTTCATTTTTCTATCAAATAGATTTGTAGAACAAGAAATTTATTATTAAGAAATCGTTAGAACATTTTTGTTTTCTTGTAAATCAATAAACAAAAAATAAATCTACTACAAAACATAAACTTTTTACATTGATATATTAGATTTTATATTGGTTAGTATTGGATTAAATTCTAAAGATTGAAAAGGAATTTTATTTCTTTCAATCTACATTTAACTAATGATATTATTCGATTATTAAAAAATAACTATGTTTTGTTAACATTGAGGAAGATCAGTATTAAACAGCGCGTAGACCAATTATTGTTATAAACGTTTTGATACATATATGTAGCATGGCACTAAATACAACGAAAAAAAAAATAAACTGAAGAAAGGAACGCGATCAATAACCGACAAAATAGGCTCCCTGCAAAACCATGATTTCTGTCATGTCAAATTCTCATTCAAGATATCTTAAAGTGATCTCTAATACAGTTAAGCCTATAACACTGGTTTGTACTGCGTCTCGGCTCATGAATCTCTTTTATTAATAACCATATTTGACTATATAGAGTGTCAGTTATGCTACCATCATTATCAAAGATCGATAAGACACATTCACACGAGCTATATTTAAAATTCCATTATAAGGCTTAAAGTTGAGAAAATACATTCCGTCTCTTTTTCTAACGCTGGCATATAAAAATTAACTACATTGAGTATGTGCCTAAGTGAAGTCAGCATACTTACTTGTAAAAGATATGTGCGTCCGTAGAATCAAGTCGACAAGTTCGATCTACTGATAGTATTATATATACCCTGTACATGTGCCTTTTATCCACAAATCTTAATATTTAGTTTTTACGTGCAGAAGTTTTAATGATACTATTGTCGTTTTCAAAAAGCAATGGGTGTGGTTGTTTTTTGAAGAACTCTAGAATGGCAAGAGGTAGGAACCGGCGATTTTCACCATCTGAAAGAAGAGACATCACAATGTCTTCTTCTCCAATAGTGTATAAGATGGAATCATTTTAAAATCAACCGTTTTTATAAAATATTGAAAAAATGCAGAAAAATTATCTGCCGTTGAGATGAAATTTTAACAAAAAGTGATAAAATTTGCTTAAAAATTAGGAGAAATTCATATTTTTCGGGCGAGTAAATAAAGAATTTTATTTACTTAACATTAGAATGTGTGAAGATAATCATTCGCCTTATATCTTAAACTATAGATCTGAAGTTTCTCTATCTAAATCACATATCAAAACCAAAATTTATCGTAATGACAGACAGTTTTCATGCAGTTTTTGAAATGTTTTGAAGAAATAATTGATTTTAAAACAATTTCATCTTATACGATATTGGACAAAACGACGCTCCGGTTTCATCTCTTTCGAACGGTGAAAACCGCAGCTCACTGACTCTTTCCATTCTAAAGTTATTCAAAAAATTGTCACACCCATTGCTTTTTGAAAACGATATTAGTAATATTTTCATTATGATTACGACACTTCTAACTTTTCACAATAAACGACAAAAACACTTTTTTCATAATTATCTAATTTGAAAGAATAATATAGCAATACATACAAACACAAAAAAACAAGAAAAAGAGAAAAAAATTGTATAATATATATGTGAACTTTCCTATAAAAAAAAATTACGAGATAAATAAAACTTGGACGCATGTCATGATTCCATGCTAGATTAATATAATACACATAAAAATGAAACGCTAAAAAACAAACAAATAAAACCGTGTAAATTAAACTATTAAAAAAAAAACAAAATCACAGAAAAGACAATGAAAAGTTTTGTTTTAAATTGGATCATTTATATTTCTATTTGATTCATCAACAGAATGATTCATTGCGATTCCATTTGGTAATGATTGATTTCCAACAATAATTGTCATTGTAGGATTCATGACAGTATCTATTTGATCATTATTAGTATTATTATTGTTTGACTGAAATAAATAAAACCAAGATGGAAGTATTACATTAATCATTACAAAACATATAATTGATTGATAAATAATTGAACTACGTATTATTTTAAATATATATGTTTGAATAGGAAATAAATACAAAATAAGTGCAGAAATTATTAATGATATAATTACACGATTATATTTCCATTTGCTACTTTGTCGATTATAACATATATGAATTAATGTATCAATAAATAAAATTGGTACAATATATAACCAAAGTGCATTAAGAAAATTAAATGTCAAACTATGAAATAAATATAAACAAGTTAAAGTACTTGCCAATAGAGCAAGTAAATGAGAAATAATTAAAAAACTATTTTTAAATGAAATAAATAATATAAATGTACTAGTAAAACTACATATTATTAATGCAAATATTAATAAACACATTTCAATACGTAATTGTCCTAATGCTTCATAATTTGGAAAAATTAAACTATAAGGAAATATGGATGGTATTGAATTTTGATTTGCATAAGTGTACATTTGGTTCATTGTTCGAATATCTTCACGATCACCTGAAAGAATAGAGAAAATCAAACACATTTTATACATAAATTTTTTCTTCAAAACTTATTCATTTTGGCATCGGGACTTACACACTTGACTCAATAAAAAAAAAACAATCTTAAAGTATTGTCATATAAACACTATTCAATGATGTCTGTACGGTATTTACTCGATATTTTAAATCAAACAGCTGTACAACACAAGAGACATGTGTCGAAAAAAGAAAGTTTTCGAATTGATTTAGAAATCTCGTGTGTGGAGCAATATTTTTTGAACTTACGAGAGAAGCACTTCAACTGTTTAATCACTTTTGAGTAGAGAATATCTATATTCATTAGACCCAAATGAACTATGAATAGTCTGATAAGAATTCGTGTTCTTAGTTTATTGCTACGAAGATACTTCATTTTTCTAGTATTGTTTAAAAACCTCTCTTAGATACACTAGAAAAAGTTATTTTCGAATTTCAACGTGAAAATTTTCTATAGAGAAAAGTCTTAACAAGAGTAGTTTATTGTGAAATTTATAGATCTTTTGATTTGCTTTCATCTGTAAAGAATGCAAAATTGTACCCTTACAATTCAACACTTCTTTTTGATTATGTTTCACGAAATAAATTGTGTCCATTTTTTAAATATGCTTAGTTAAATATATCATTTATTAAATTACTGCTCTATTGTTGTAATAAGAGTCAAGTTTTACTTATATTCTTCTAGAAGTGTACCCAGAGAGTCTACATCCCCTGAACAAACATGATTACAAGGCTGAACTCTTTCATAATTTTGTTTTGCTGACGCCACTAAGCTATATGTTATAACGTAGAAGTTTTGAACTCAGTAACTACTAGTTCATTTCCAGACATTCTTTAGTCGTAAAGAAGACTAAAATTTTGATAGAAAGTCCTAGATAATCTGTCTAACTGGGAAAAAGCTGCTTCCTAAAATTTGGCAGACAGTTTTCAACAACAGCTCAAAATCTTCGCAGGCGCGGCCTAATTCTGCTCTTTCGTCATCCAGACCTTATGCAATCAATGAATTAAATAGTATACATTCAGTTCATCTATTGATTTACTTGTTCTATTTAAACGGAATTTATTATTTTTGAAAAATTTTTTTTATGCGTATACACGCCAAATTATTTCATTATAAAATTCGATTTTTCTAAAAGAATATCTCAAGTTGAAGAAGAATACATATGAGTATGCATTTTATAAATAATATTTGTTACCTTTAACAGATTTATATTGACAATAGAATCTTGATGCTATAATTGTTGAATGATTATGTTCTTCGGATACAATTAAATCATTTTGTGAAAATGGTGTTATACGAAATTCTAATTTATCTTGTCCCGTTATTATATTATTGATATTTTCATGATCTAACCATAATAATTTAAATGTATTTGTTCTTGTTTCATTGACACATTGATCAAGTAAGTAACGCATTGCTAATTGAACTTGTTCATTTTCATAATCAATTGCTTTTGGTATTGTAAACATAATAACAGGACCCATATCAAAATCATCTGCTTGTGATTGCATATGTGATCGTAATGAATAAGCATCGTGTGGCAGAAATTTATCTTCAAATAAACTTGTATCGATTGAAAGTGCAATCCACATACTTAAAATTATAAATACAATTAAAAATAAACATAAAATCGAAGCAAAAAGTTTCTTCCAATTTGAATCAATATTAAATAATGAATAAAATTTAGTTTTTAATGATTTTAATTTATTACATTTTCTATTTGTTTTTGTATAATAATCTTTTGATAAACGACAACAAAATAAACTATGACGAAGTGATGATACACGTTTTATTGTTATAACAAGACATGATGAAAAAAATGTTGAATGTACAATATAATTAACAAATATATATAATGCTAATGTTAAACACATTCGCATTGTTGATGACATTGGTGAACATATTGGAAATAATATATAAACAAAGGATATAATTAATGTTGATACTATAAAATATGGATGAGTTGCTTCAATAATTGATGGAAGAATTTTTTCAATATCTATTTCAAATGATGCATCAGTTACTGTAATTAAATGTTCTTTAATTATTCGATGATATTCACCACATACAATTGAAAAACGCATACAATCAATAACTAGAATTGAATAAAAATAATTAATTGATTTTCAACAGCATAACTTATAGGAAGTATATGGAGCATGATATATTCTGATGCTTCTGAAATTCGTCCATACAACGCTTTCATAATATGTATCTTCTTTGTTGATTTTTGATTTTACTGACCAAACAGTAATTTTTTTTAATATAGAATTTATTATAGTCCTATATCATTGTATTACTCATATTATACTGTATACATGTTTTACACAAAGCTCATCAGTACTGTACATATTCTAGTATTTATTTTGATCTGGTCATCAGATTTTTCTACTTCATAATATGTCATTTAGTACTAATGTATTGTCATATTTAGAAAACTTTGACTAAATACTTTCAACATGTACAACTTGAATAGTTCTATTCTAGTTGTAACAAGGTTGCATAAGAAGTGTATGTTACTGAATTATAGCATTTATCATATCTTATATTAAACAAATCTGCACATATAAGGGAAATCTTCTAACTATTCAATCGCTTTTGAGTCAAGACTATGTGAATTCTGTAAACCCAAATGAGCTATGAATATTCTGAATAGAGTTTGTGATCTTAGTTTATTGTAATATTTACAGACCTTGTGATTTGTATCTATCCTGAAATAAGAACATGAAATCTGATAGTTTATCTGTATGATGTAAAAGATACGCTATTATCATAGTTGTATCTTATGGTAGGTACACCAGCATACACAAAAAACATATTCTCATTTCGGTCTATATCAACGTTAAGTTTCAAATCGAAATTCGAAAATGAATTTTTCTAATGTTCTCGAAAGACGTCACGGCGTTTATTTAAAAAATACTGTAAAAACAGAATATTTTCATAGAAACAAGCTAAAAGTATGAATACTTTTCAGAACATGCATAGCTCATTTGAGTCTAAATAATACACGTAGTCTCGACTAAAAAGCAATTAAACAGTGGAAGGAGTTTCTTCGTCAATTATCTTGAAATGACTCTTGATTGTTGAATTATTTACCAGTGTAGATATAATTTAGAGATTCATTTTTCAGGGAATCAAATTTGGTAATTCATGATAACCAATCTCTCAAAAAGGTTACTATCAATTATCATCGAATTTAATGAATATTTTCGTAGATAAACTTTTTAACTTACTAGCAACAATAAAAACCAGAAGTACCATTGGTTCAATAAGTTTAATACGAAAAATAGATATTAAACCAAATGTAGCACCAGTTGAAAGACCAATACTCAATATTCCACACAGTGGTAAATAACCAACAGATGTATGAAAGTTACCTTGAATACTCATAAAAAGACAAAGAAGAACAAAGAATATTAAAAACATAATCATCATATATAATCCTTCATCATGTGCTTTTTTCGTAATAACATCAGATGCAGCTGTTGATGTTAATGGAAATATTTCAATTAATTTTGATTTAAAATCTTCATTAAGATACCGAAATACTTCACGTTCCCAGTCAATTGCTAATTGACGCATTTCTAATGTTGATGTATTTAATGAATAACGAAGACGAAAAAGTGGTACATAAGATATAATTTTGTCTGAAGTTGTTTGAACAATTTTTGCTGAACCATCTTGTTCTTCTTCTTTTTCTTTTTCTTCCTCTTCTTCTTCTTCTTCATAATCAGAACCAATTGGTAAAGCATTTGTTAAATAATAATTTTTACCAAACATAAATTCTGGTATACCATTAGCACCTAATGTATCAAAATAATATCCATGTTTAGGAGGAAGTAAATTAAACATTTCTTGACGAAATTTATTACTTAAAATATAATTTCCATCAATAACACAAGCATAATTTATTTTTGTACATAAGGATGAATAATTATATTTAATGGATGTATTTGTACCATTTATTTGAATAGATTGAATTTGTTGATCCAAAATGTACATCTAAATATTTTTTTTTATGTAGATTAAACGAAATAAAAGATAAAGCAGTAGCTTTATCTCAATCGGTATGATAAAAAAAATGTATTTTCATAACGAAAGGATACTCTTTAAAAAAGATTATAGAAAATGATAAATTGCGTTCAATAGATCATTTAGTAAGGAAAAGGAGGAAAGACAAAAGCGGATATACACAGACTTGAAGAATAAGGTGTCTGTTTTTTTCCTTCTCATGAAGAATTGGTCTTGTTAAAAAGATTTCTGATGATAAACAATTAAAGTAATCATTTGATCTTCCTAAATATTCTTTTTGAAGAAGTTTGTTTCTAATGAACTATGATAGAATTTGTATCCTGTAAATCAAAGTCTCAAAAATACTACGGATGAAGTACTTTAACAACTCGCAGAACTGATTCAGAAAGATAGAAATCAAAACTCTAAACGTTGTTCGTAATAGGTTTTGATTGTACTACTCATTATACAAAAAGACATTTTCTAAATATAGAGTTTTCCCACTGTATGAGCTATTGGAGCAACTCTACAGTCATATTAGAATGTATAGTTTATCATCTATTTTTTGGCTCTCGATACAGAATCAAGACTTGTTATTAATAATTTGTAATTAATAAAAAACCTTAATTATCTAGTGAGGGAACCCATTTGACTGGTATACTCTATTTTATATCATACTTTTTCCATAGACAGGACTCACAGTCTAGATAGAAATCTTAAAAGGATTTGTCATTAGAAGGAAATCTTACTTAAAATTTTCCACAATAAAAAATCTCATGACTTATTTTAGTAACTTTTGTGAGAAGTGTATCAGCTCGAAAGCGAAACGTTTGTTTGAGCTGAAACCTTCATAATATCATACGAGTCATAAAATCTATTATTGTGAAAATTTTCAAGAGAAAATTCATTCATGTGGTTGTTATCGTAATATTCTAGGGGTGTGTAGTTTCTGTGAAAATACTGAAATATATTGGCAGTAAATCAATTGACGCATTGACTATACTAGATCGGTCTTTATTGAAGCATTGACAGACTCATAAAATATGAATATGTTAAGTAAGTTAGTGCATGTCAGTGAGAGTTTTCAGCAAACAGTTTACTCGAACTGCACATCCCTACAATATTCTGCTCAGTAAAATGAATATAGTTCGAAAAGAAAGACTTAATAACACAATACTTTCTTGAGTTTTCATGTAAACTTTGAATTCTACTTATAAACAAAAGTATAACTTTAAATGGAAGACGTCAACCGGATGGTATATTGACAAATATGTTCTATTTTCAAGAGAGTACAAATATATTCGTAAATTCTCTGTACAAATTACATCTATGCATTTAGCATATAATTAAATTTCGTCAATATTTCGTTAAGTTTTAATAGTTATAAAACACTTTTATTGCAACTGATGTAAGCTGATGATATATCAATTGTGATCGCATAAAAAGTTTTATCTTTTATTTGATTTCCTTCTAATAATGTTATAGGAATATAAACGATAGAATTTTATCTTAGTTGAAATCTATAATTGTAAGATGAAAAACAAATTTTATATTCTAAGACGTTTCCTATACGATTCATCTACAGGCTTCATTCATCTATCTTCAACTATCGAACAAAAAAACAAGCAAAAATAAATTTTCTTTTCTTTTTTTTTTTAATACCTCTTCTAAAATCTGTTCATTGAGCATATTTGTTAGATTATCATTTCTTGCAGTAGTATTCAATTTTCTTTTTATAATAATATCTAATGCTGGATAAATATTCAATTGTTGATGAATGCGTAATTCAGTATCATTGCCAAAAATTTTTCTTAAACGAGCAGCATTTTGCATTGTTGAACTTTTTCCCATAATAAAATCATTTTGATCAAATGAACGTATTTGCATAAGTAAACAGAAACATACTGTAAGTCCAACAGTAATCAATAAACTAAGAGAAAGTATTGACCATGAAAAACGTATTAAAAATTTTGAATAAATATTTGAAAATTGTTTCCATTTTGAATTCGATATTTGTCGAATGCAATTCATACGTGTTTTAAATCGATTTGTTTGTTTCATTGGAGAATTATTAATCGTAACCATTATGATAAATTATCCTATGTTCTAACCTACTATTCAATAATAATAAAAAATAAACGGAAATGTAAGTAAAAACAATACGCATCAAAACAAAAATGTATTTCGATATTAGTCTTTTTTTTGCTTATTTATATCTCTTTCATATGGGTATGATAGAATACGTTGGAGGAAAAAAATAAAAGATTTAACATTCTATCATGTTTGTATATTTTAAAACATAGGTATTTAAAATATTATTTATGGTAATATATGTGGGCGGATGTATGCCTTTAAATAAAATAGAAGATGAGAGATAAGAAGTGAAAAAAAATGAACATTTATTTCTTTTTCTGCTACTTTCTTTTTACTATCGAAATCGATTATAAATACTTGTGATATCGGACAGTTATTTTTTTTTTTTGCTTGAGTCTATTATCTCTAAGTGACTGATATAACATATTGACATTCATGAATTATCTAGTAGGACAAAAAATTATGTTATACGTAATAACTCATAAGGGAACTACTCGAACTGATACTCGACGTTTGAACTCATGGTGGGTTCACATGAAGATTTCGGTAAGACTAGAAAAATCTAAAAGGGTTAGTGCCCATGAGTCTTCAGAGCTGATCTGTGACCGTTTTATTGAATTTTTAATCAAGCTTTAACTAGTTACTGAAAAAGCAAATAATAGTATTTTGATCTCAAATTTCGTCGAACGACTTGTTGAGTATTCTGAAGCTTCAGACGAAAAAAAAACTGTTCCTTTTGTCAAGATATTGAATTTTTGAAAAAATGGCCGTTTACCACAAATATTGGGCTTACTTGAAAACTTAATATCTCGATAAAAGAACATTCTTTTCGGCTGAAGCTTTCAAGATATTCTATTAATCATTTGACTTGAATATAGGCGAAACTTCAACTCAAAATTCCTCTATTAGACTTTTCAATAAATATATAAGGCTTGTCGAAAATTGGGTGAAGCAGTCTCCTAAGTCAGCTCCAAAAGCTTGTGAGCATAAACACTCTTAGAATTTATCTACTTTTACTAAGACCGTCTGATGAATTCGTCATGAGCTCAAACGGTGGGTATCAAATTGGGCCGTTTCCTCGTCAGTGAATCGCAACCATAACTTGTTAAAATGTGTACAAAAATCGAGCCATGACGAGAGAAATAATTTACACCTATTACCTATTTGCCTTCAACAATTTGTACTATTGAAGAAAAAGTTTCAATACTAAACTTGAACCAAATAAGAACAAGAAAATATTAATAATAAATATAGTATAGCGTCTCTAGAATGACTGTATGAGAAAAAAGAAAAAAGCGAAAAGTAGTATATATATTTATACATATGTAGGAGGAAAAGTATGAAAGCATCACGCCATACACCCGTTACTTCGTTTTATGTACAGAACAAGCATAAACGTGCTTCAAAATGAAAATGAGTACAAGCAATTATATCAAATATTTTACTTAATATTCTTACATACCACTAATAGACTGTTGTTTATTATCCTTGGAATGGTGCCAGTTTAGAAACATGTGAATGTTTTGTTTTATATGTTATCGTACAGTTAAATATCTCATGTGAATATGTATAGACAAATGAAAAAGAAAAAAGTCGACCGATCGGTCATCCTGAATGCATTATTTCTTTCGTTTCTGTAGTGATATTGTTTGACCTTGATATCAGTGTTAGTCTTTATTTTTTCCTTCATGTCAATTCTCTACAAGGTCCATGGTTTCTATTTATTTGATCTTGAACTCATTTTTTCTTTACTTTCTAAAGAAAGGAGGATAATTGTAAACGAAAGAGAAAAAACGACAATAAATTATGACAAGACAGAGACAAGCATGAAAGAGAGAGAGAGAGAGAAATGGGAGAATACGCTGCTGTTACCTAGACAACAATACATTTTCGAATACTCAGTTTTATAAAAAAAAAAAAAAAAAAGAAGGAGAGAGAGAGAAAGACGAACATAGTTTTTAAGCATTCGGTATGGGTGAACCAGGTGCTGGAAGGCCACTTGTGCCAAGGACAGCACGATTAAATAAACTAGAACCGCGTTTTAATTGTTCCTAAAAGTAAAAGAAAAGGAATATTTTAATTCTAAAGAAAAGAACAAAAAAAAAAAAAGGAAAATTTACCGTCTTTTTCAAATAATTGTAGGCATCCTGCCAATTAGCATAAACGGGTGTTATAGGTAACATTCCAGCACGAAGTCCACTTCGATTAATTGCTGTTACGGTTGTTATGACACTCAATGGATAAGTCACTGTTTGAGCTATGAACTAAAAAAAAATTATTCTTTTCTTTTTTGTTAAAACATAGTCTGTTAATTAATTTTATTTCATTTATCACAAGTTTCAAATCGAGGTTATATAAACAAATAACAAGAATATCGTGACTCATTTTGTATTAGGTTTCATTGTAAGACTCAAACGACATAGCAAAAAGGATAAAACAAATATGGCGTGATCATGTTACATAATCAAAGTTATAACTCTGATTGAATTATTTACAAATGTTTGTATAAGGTTGAACAAATATTTCGAAATGAAAAGCTATTCCACATTTTCACTAGACACATTTCGAATTGGTTTGCTTGTCGAATAATATTGAAAATTTTATGTTTACATTTTGATCATGGTATTTTATATATATATATATTTTTTTTGTCAAAAGAAGATAATATCACTAATTTATACACTATTGCTATGGCGATAGACACAAGTTGGTTGTCTTTTTATCCAACACAAATAAAATTCGAGTTTAAAGTAAATTAATATGTTTTATTTTTGTTTATGATTATATTTATATATGTACAAGGAACATTATTGTCTTTGAGTAACAAATAAATTTTGATGAAGCATGATGGATCAGAGAAAGATTTTCACTCTCTTAGATATTTCTTGTTAAGTTATGACTATTTTATTGGGTTTTGAACTTATTGCAAGATATTTCGGAAAAACTTGAACCCCCAACAATTTTAGTTTGATACTTTATTCATAGTTAGACTGTCGTATCCTAAGAAAATATATAATTCAAAAATATAGAAAACTTGCTTGTTTTCAAAAGATGAAAAATGAGAACAGCTTGAACATCTATGTATGTTTTCTCATAAATGAGTCTGACAAAATAGTTAAACTAAAATTCTATAAAAAATCAAAAATTTGTTAACACAAAGAATTTCCATAAGTTTTTGTTCAACAAAATAAACGAAATTCGAAATTTTGAACTTTGATCTGTAAATTTCATTATTTCGATTATCTTTATTTTTGTTACTATACTTGAAAGCCAGCACGATGAATTGATCATTCATTCCTATGAAATAAATCTAACGAGAGGAGTACTTAACATGCCTATGCTCCTTTTGATTCATTCTTACATAATTAGATACAAACATATTAAGATTAAAAAATAATTTAAAATGCTCGAATGCAGACGAACAGTTATCATCGTTTTACTTAGAGTCAAATATTTCAAAAAAAATCAAAATACAGAGTTTTGATTTGAAATTTTATCTATACGCAAATGTAATAATCATAAGATAGTTCTGAAAGTATCAACGAAAACGAACATGTCCTGCTCGAGATAATTGATTTTCGTGTACTTCTACATTAAACGATTGTTTCTTTTTTTGAAAAATAAATATTTCAAGAAAGATATATTCATTTTCGTTGAAACTTTCAGAAATATCTAATAATTACTAAATCTATTTATATGTATAATTTCAATAAAACGATTATCACTCTTCGCCATCAAGTCATCGAGTTGAACACTTTTAGATTTTTTTCTTCTCTTAATAAACTCTATCGAATGATTCAAAACAAAAATAGAACATTTTTTCATAAAAATTCATAGTGATTAAATTCAAATTTTTCTAAACTCATATGAATTATTGCTTATCATTTGAAATAAACTTACAGTAGCAATATATTCGTATAAAGACACCATTTCATTTTGTGGTGGTAATTGTGTTTTTAATAAATGAATAAGAATATTTGTTATAATAACAGTTGAAATTTCAAGTAACCATCGAGGAATAAGTCCACTATTATACATAGAAAAATTAAAATCAAGATCATAAAATATTAAATTTACATACACAAAAAATCCTCCAATTCCTTGACGATTATAAATTTCTTTAATATTTTGAAATATATTTATTTCTGAATATGCTTTTTCACGACCAACAAATTGACCCATACATCGAATAGCCATAACTAATTATCAATCAAATATTCTTATTTATTTTTTTGTTCACTAAAATCAAATGAAATCTTACCTTGAATAGGATGTGAAATGAAAATACCCCATGATTGTGCTTGTACTTCACGTAATATCTATATAAGTAAATATATAAATAAATAATTATTTTATTTTTTTTTAACATACTTTTTGAATACATTTATTCCATGCTGCAGGTGTTTGATCATTCGATACTCGAGTATCAACAGGTCCAAGAAGCTAATTAATAAAATATTAAAAAAAAAAAATTTTTATTATTAAATTCGTCTTTATAATATTATTTACTTCATCAACTTTTGTTGTCGTATACCAACAAACAACTTTAGATAAAAGCGAACAACCAAAACCACGATATAAACCAACAAGACCATCAACACTATAAACATGCTTAACTAAAGTAAAAACAAAAATAGTTTTAATAATTACAAAAACAAAAAAACTAACGATAGCGAAATACATTCGGATAATACAGAGCGTCTTTGCCAAATAAAGTTCTTCCTCGATATGCTGGTAATGGTTCATAACCCATCTAAGAAAGATTTTGATTATTAATTAGAATAAAAAATAAAATAAAAATAACAATCATTTATTTTAAATATCTTACTTGCATTAATGCTCGTACATAAGCAAATGGATGACCAAGAGCTAATTGTAAAGTAGTACCTTTTAATGCTGTAAATGTTGGATTAGCCGATATTGATGCTGAAGAAAATCCACCTGTAGATTGTTGTTGAACTGTTGTTCTAGGCTGTATAATTGGTGTAACA